AGGGAGCTCAGGTGGCCTTGTAGTCTGAAGCTGTGCTGCAGTCACCAAGGCACAATTCACATCCACCAGCTACTGTATGGGTTAAAGATGGACAGTCTCCACCTGTGTGGTTTACTATCGCTCAAAACCTGCCCGAGGATCAGCTATGAGTCGGTTCCTACTCAATTATACTCAACAACTTAATTACCAGTTTTCACGACATAAATAGAATTAAAAATCTATACCTTTTTTTTTTCCACTTGAGAAAAAATACCTAGAACTGGATTTTTTGTGTAAGGTAGTTGTTGTATGTTTATTTTTATATGAAATTGCTAAGTCTTTCTCTATCACAAACCTCTTTGTTGAGTGTTTTGTTATCATTTGTTTCTGCACTATTTGCACAGATGAAGTCTTGATTATTGTTGTTATTAAGTATTGTTGTTGTTAAGTTGCCTGTGATGCATAGCAACCCTCCTTACAACAGCCCTAAGCCCTACTCTATCTTGAGCCAATCTCTTTTTCTCTGGCACACCTACCCTCATTACCCCAGGCACTGAATCAAGTCCATCTTATCAAGAGCCTTCTCCTGTGCTGTCCCTCTGCCCTCCCAAGTATGAATTCCTTACCAAGGACTGGTCCCGCCTTGCAACATGTCCAAAGTATGTCAAGTGAAGCTTCAGAATCCTTGCCTCCAAGGAGCAACCTGGTTTCACCCTCACAAAGGACGAACCTGTTTGTTTTCCTAGCAGTCCATAGTATGTTCAATACTGGTTTCCAGCACCACAGCTCAAAGGCATTGATTCTCCTTCTGTCATCCCTAGTCATTGTCCAGCTTTCTGATGCATAGCAAGTAATTGCAAAGACTATGGCCTGGATCAGGCACACCTTAGTCTTCCGACTGACATCGTTGCTCTGCAGTACTTTGGAGAGGTCTCTAACAGCAGACTCTCCCCAGTGTAATTCGTCATTTAATTTCCTGGCTGCTGGTACCAAGAGTGTTGATTGTGGAGCCAAACAAACTAAAGCTGTTAAAAATCTCAATCTCTTCACTATCATGATGCTGCTAATCAGCCCAGTAGTGAGAATCTTTGTTTTCTTGAGGTTGAGTTTCAATCCATATTGAAGGCTGAATTCCTTGGCCTTCTTGCAGCAAGCACTTCAGGTCCTCCTCAGTTTCAGCAAGCAGGGTTGTGTCATCTGCATAATGCAGATTGTTGACGAGCCTTTCTCCAATCCTGATGCCACATTTCTCCTCATAGAGCCCAGCCTCCTGGATAATTTGTTCTGCATATAAATTAAAAAGGTATGGAGATAGGACACATCCCTGGCATATATCTTTCCCAATTTTGAACCATGCAGTGTTTCCTTACTCTGTTCTGATGACTGCCTTCTGGTCCGAGTATAAATTTCTCATATCTTTAGTTAAATTGATACTTAGGTTTTGTTTTGTCTTTGATAATGTCATATGTTAAATTTATTATTTTGTGCACTGCAATCCCAGAGGTACACAGTTAAAATCCACCAGATGCTCTGCTGGAGAAGGAGGGGGCAATCTCCTTCTGTACCAGTCAGATCTGATTTGACAGTTCACGTAAAATAATACAATAAATTAAAAAAAGAGAAAAAAATTTATTATTTTATTATAAGCAAAGTTTACAGAGACTTAGGGTTTCCATTCATTCATTGTAGCATTTTTTCCCTGTCCACCCTCTCCCTCCGAATTCACTGTTCTTGAAAAGTAAAAGAAAAACTCTCATTGTTATGCAATCCCTTGCCCCAAGTCCAGTCCACTGTGCAGCCTTCATTCTGGACTCCTGTCATGACAATAATACCCAATCATATATTCCTTTTAAACAGTTCTCTCCATCCTCTGTTTCAATGCAGTTTACATCATTCATCCCCTCCTTCTCTGCCTTCCCTCAAGCTTGATGTCAGTCCCATTTTACAATAGTGGCCATATGCAATATTTGTCCTTTTGTGACTGAGATATTTCATGAGTTCCTTGTTTTTCAGTGCTGCATAGTATTCCATTGTACAAATACCAGAGATCCTCTATCCATTTGTTTGTTGACGGGTACTTGGGTTGTTTTCAGCTCTTTGCTATTGTGAACAAAGCCACAATAAACATGAGTGTGCATATATCTACTTGAGTGGCAGTTATGGTTTCTTTAGGGTAAATTCCCAGTAGTGGAATTGCTGGATCAAATGGTATTTCTACTTGCAACTTTTTGAAAATCGCCATACAAACTTCCATTGTGGTTGCACCATTTTACACTCCTACCAGCAGTGAATAAGGGTTCCAATTTCCCCACAACCTTGCCAACATTTGATGGTTGCTGTTCTGTTAAATTTTGCCATTCTTACTGGGGTGAGATGATACAGTTGTTTTGCATATGTGAAAAAATTTTAATTTTTAATTTTTTTACTCAATATTAATATTATTTTTTTTACTCTTTGGTAACAGTTTGGTTGAAATAAACCTTGCACTTCACCTGCGTCATTAACAGTCATCCTCAAACCCGCCTGCCAGCCTTAAAACCCACTGCGTGTTGAGTCAGTTTCATCTCATAGCAACCCCACAGCAAGGAATAGAATTGCTCTATAGGGTGCCCAGGTTATAAATCTTTACAGAAACGCACTGCTTCAGTTTTCTCTTGCAGAGCCAGGTGGTGGATTTGAACTGAATGTCTTGTTTATCAGCCCAAGACTCTTAATCCACTGTACCACACTCTTGTTTTTGATGTTGTGTACTGTTGTGTCAGAACTAACCCATTCCTGACCCTCTAGAGGTTTTCCAAGGCAGTAAATGTCACGAGGGGAGGCTGCCCATTTTATCTTTCTCCCTGGGAACAGCTGATGGGCTTAAGACTATTTTCTGTTTCTACTGATGAGCCATTTTTTCAACATTTGATGTAAATGAGATCATATAATATATGACATTTGTGTCTGGCTTTTTCAATTAGTGTAATGTTCATCCATATTGTATTAGTACTTAATTTATTTCTACTGTTGAAAAGTCTGTTTATTCATTCCTCATTTCATGGGCTTTTGAATTTTCACTTTTTGGCCATTATGGATAAAGCTGCTAAGAACATTTGAGTATAGGTTTTGAACAGATGTTTTCATTTCTCTTGTATATATTCTTTGTTGTTACGTGCCTTGGAGTGGGAACCAGTTCATAACTGACCCTCTAGTGCATCTCCCCCAGGAGGAGATTGTTTATCTTTGTCCATCAGAGCAGCTGGTGGATTCACATTCATTACCTTTGGGTTGGCAGCAAATCTCCTAACTCATTAGGTCACCAGAACTCCCTGGGTATATACTTTACTGTTTTGTGCCTTGGAGTCAGAACAGACTCTTAGCTGATACTCCAGCAGATTTTCAGAGACAGTTAATTGCATGGGAGGAAATGGCCCATCTTTGTCTTGCAGAGCATCTTGGGTGGATTTTGGATTTGAGCCGTGTGCTTTTGATAGTGCTTAGGAGTAGAATTAGTAGCCTGCATGGTAATTATGTTTAGCATTTTGAGGGATTGTCAGACTTCCAAAATATCTACAGCATTAAAAATCTCTACCAGTAGTAGGGATTTTAATATTCAAAATTTCATTGTACCTTCACCAACACTAGTTAATATCTGTTTTATTATAGCCACTCAAATTGATGGCTATAACAAAACCCAAATTGTGTGTCACGGGGTTTTAAGAATTTATTTTTATCTTAACCTTATATTCTGTGGCCTTACAGGTAGTCTAGTGTAGGAGAATATACTCCAAATTCTTTCCAGTCTTCAAACCTTTATTTGTTTCTTGGGTTTTGTTGTAATGACTAGGACCCTCATGCATTGTTAGGTAAAGAGAGGTGAAAGCATTACATACTTACCTTAATCCAAGCTTGAGAAAAACATCCTTATGTAACTGTTTTCTGTGAGGAATGATGGTAGCAGTAGGTTTTTCTAATTCCTTTTGTAGTAATGAGGGAATTCCCTTCTCCTAATGTGCTGAAAATTTTTATCATGAATGGATGTTGGGTTTTTGTCAAATGCTGCTTATTTTTTCCCCAATCCATTGAAATAAAAGTCATTGCCATCAAGTTGATTGTGACTCAGTGGTCTTCTTCCATCAAGTTTCTGAGGTTGTCAAGTCCTTATAGCAAATGACTGTCTTTTTCTTGAGGAGTGGCTACTAGATTTGAACCACTGACCTTTCAGTTAGCAACCAGCACATTAGTATGCCACCAGGGCTCCTTTCCAATGAAATAAGAATATAGAATTGAAAATAGGATGTGTAAGCAGAAATTGCAACAGATTTATTTTTATTTTGTCATTGCTATTACTTGCCTTTCAGAACTGAAAGTATGATTGGGGTGCACTTCCTGTTTGTTGTTAATCAAAACCCCAGTCAGAGGCGTGAGTGAGTTGGTGGCTCTTGCTTACACAGCTTGAAGTTGATTCAGATAGAAATGCCTAGGATTTGTAGGCATTCTACTGTTATTGCTGTTGTTATGTGCCGTCGAGTCGCTTGCGACTCACAGCGACCCTATGTATAACAGGCCTAAACTCTGCTCTGTCCTGTGCCAATCGCACCGTCTCTGACACTCCCATCCCGATTATCCCAGTCACTGAATCAATCCACCTCATAGAGGGCCTTCCTCTCCTGCGCTGTCTCTCCACCCTCCCAAGCATGATGTCCCTCTCCAAGGGACCAGGTCTCTCCTCACAACATGTCCAAAGTATGTTAGACGGAGCCTCGTATGGAAAATACATAATGGTGTTTAGGAATGTGAGATCAGAATCAAACTGCTTGGCTTAACCTCTAGATCTGATATTAGACAAGTAAACTTTTCTAACTCCACATAGTTCATATGGTTTTTATTAAAATTAAATAAGGTCCTAAAAATACTCAGGAATTGTTAGGTCTTGTTACTGTTAATTACTATTATGATCACATTATTATTCCAAAGTAAACTTAACAGCAGTCAGTTGTTTAAATTGGGTTTTGATTGTATTTTTTCTTTTTCTCTAGACAGGGATGACTTTGAATGAGCGATTTGGCATTTTGAAGGAACAAAGAGCCACTCTCACATTCAACAAAGGAGGAAGCCGCTTTGTGACCGTGGGATAGATCCTGCATCAGAGGGACTTTTGTGTGATCGTTCTGTTTGGAAAATTAAATTCCTTGAAGAGAGCTTGTCACAGAAATTCAAGAAACTTTATTTGAGAATATTCAGAGGACTAACTCATATTATTTTTATTTTTGAAAGTGGGTTTTTTTTGTTTGTTTTTTTAATATGTATAAAATAATGCCCTGAAAGAACAGGGAATATATCTATTTGTTCCAAAAGATTTTATGGTTGTCCAAACAGAACAATTCTCTATTTGACTTCTTTGGTTTTTCATACAGTAGAAGGAAAACGTAAATATAGAAAATGATTACTTTTACTGTAGTGGTATTTAGCATCTTCTCTCCTTTGCCCATTTTTTAGACTTTGCCATGGTAAATCTTGGCCTTCAGAACTGAGTAATATTTCTCATTGTTGCTGTCAGTTATCCTTTAATAGTGTTGATGTAATAAATGCAGTTGCCTTTTCTTCAGTGAAGATATTAAAAAAATTCATTAGGTTTCTTACAGTTTTGGGGTTTAAGATTTGTGGGAATATCTGGAATGATTTTTTCTGATATTATTAGGTTATTCCCTTAGAGCTGTAAACCGTTAGTGACAAATTTTTAAAAAGAATTGCAACTTAAGGCAGTTGTCTTGCTCTAGATTGTTGGTATTTGGAGGTTGTAAATATGTTTACAAAGTTATCTGCTTGATACTCAGAGGAAGATGCCGAGTATAAAAATTTGACAGTTTGTTTAATAGTAAATGAAGAAAGCATGAATGGAAGTAGCAGGTAAAAAAGAGGTAACCTGAGGTGGAAAAGATAGATTCTTTGGATATAAAGTAGGCATAAGTTTCATATCCAGAAAGAAGTCTTCAAATGGTATTTAAGAGAATTAAAATGGACTGAGCCCTTTAGATGTTTTGATAATAAATTTAATAGCTGTAAAATTCAAACTTTCTTCTTATTCAAAAAGCTGGGTTTTATAAGCTGCTAAGCTTGGTAAATTAAACACTACAATTTCCAAAACAAAAGTATACTTGGTTATTTCACAAAGAAAAAAAAAACCTTCAAAAATTACATATTGTAAACATCTTTTATACCTCATTTATGTTCTAATATAATGTTGAGGCACTTGTGGGGAAAAAGGCCTCTCTGCCTGGTGAAGGGAGTACACAGAGTCAGTCTGTGCCAAGATAATGCTGAGGCCTCAGTTGTATACTATATGTTACAGTAAAATGCCAAAATACAGAAAAATAGTACAGCCAGAAGTTCTAATTTTGGTCATTTTGAAGTGTGACCTGATTTACTATAGTGCTAAAACCTTTATATAGGCATTACTTTATCTAGAGTATATTATTGTGGTTGACTCTTCCTGTTAACATAAGAAAGATTATCACCCCCTCCTGCCTTGTATTATATTCTAGACTCCATTGTTGTCTCACATACCCCCTGGGTTACTTAACTGATTTGTTAGTTAACCTGGAAAGCTATCAATAACAGGTTCATGCTTATACCAAAGAATTAAATTTGATCCTAAATAACAGATATTTTGCCAGTACTTCTATTGATGAGGGAATCTGGACAGCAAGTCACAGAATTTGAAAATAAATTCCAGTCTCCTTAGTTATTTTGTGATTTTCATTCACGCCAAGAATCCATTGTAAAACAGTTTTGCAAGCATGGATGCTTGCATTTGGTTCAGAAACAATACATTCTAGACTGGTTTAGAGGTAGCTTATTTTAAAGCAAAAGAAAAACTCAGAATCTGTTTGATTTAGCACAGTTTGTGAAAATAACGTGTAAAAGTGGTTTTCATTTTCCCTTTGAGTTATTTTAAATATTACTGTACAGAGCTGTTACTAATAACTTAAAATTGTCCCAAATACTGACATTAAGTGCATCAAACAACATGTCTTTGGTATGTTAAACTTTTACTTTTTGTGCATTCTGTAATTTAATTTTTAAATATAAAATTTGCCTTTGGCACAACTAAATTAAAACTCTTGAATGCTAATATATATACAGAAGTGTGTCTTGGAGAAAAAAATTCTTGGAATTCTAGCAGTTAAAGTAGTTTAATACATTTTTTTCAGTTCTTAATGTTTTGTGGGGTTTTTTTGTTTGCTTGCTAAATTTTTGTTTTGTTTTTACTAGTACGCAATTTTAAATTCCCTTTGCATCACGGTGTGTGCAAAACGTTGATGCAGTGCATCACAAAACGAAAGTTTGTGTTTAATGCTGACATGCTTTATTTACACTGTACTTTTTGATGTTTTTGGGAAATTTTACATTTAGAGCTATTCTGAAGCTGTTCATTTTTTAAAAAATAAAATGTCACAGGTTTCACATGACTAATTCATAGCTATAAAGATTGAGTTGTGGTTTTTAGATTACTATATGTTATTAGGAATTTTATTGTGATTATTAAATTTATGATTTTTTAAAGTTCAGAAGTTAACCACCAAGTAAATTGCCATACAATATAGACATTCATAGTAGCATCCCTAAGTATGTTTTTAACTAATTTAGAGCTCTACTGTGAAGTAGGGAGTTCTGGTGGCTCAGTGGTAAGGAACTTCACTGCCAATGCACAGGTGTGTGGTTTGAATCCACCCACTGCTCCACTGGAAAATGATAGTCTCATCTTTTGTGATTAATTGCCTCAGAAAACTTGCTGGAGGATCTGTTCTAACTTGACGATATACAATGACAACACTATGAAGTACTTAGGAATTGAAAAACACGGTGTTAGATGAACCTTTACTTAAGTCAGCCACTCATTTTTACATCTTAATTGAGTGAGGCCCCCAGTGTTTTCAAGATTTTGTGTGGCAGTTACTTTTGGAGCACCTGACTTACAAGGAACTGAGTCAGTTTCTTAGAGACTATAACTGAAAACCACACAAAGGAGTATTAGATTCCACTGGGTAGTAATATTTTCTGATTTTTCTTTTACAAATTAAAATTCCCAGAAAAGCTTCTCCTCTATATTTCCTATAAAGCACAGATGTCCATACCTCTGGGGATGTAATGTTCTAATAAATTTGTCTTTACTATTTTACCTTCAAAAAAACTCAGTAAAATTTCATTTCTGTTAAAGATTATGTTATTGTGTGTTTAGGTTCCATATGAGCTTTTGTGTTTTGATTTTTCCAAAGGCAAACAATAATTTTAGCATATGTCAGATGTTGTATGGCAATACTTTCTTACTATCTAGATTAGAACTGCCGTTGTATTGCTTGGCAATATCTAAGTATTACTAACAGCCGTGGTTTGTATATTGAGCATGGTAAGTCAGCCTCTTCAAGTGTAATGGTGAGACTTTCCTATTATGGTTTACAAGTTTGATATTAGGTGCTGTTAAGTATGACTCAGCAAACCTATGAACAACAGATCTGAGCCCTGGCCTATCCTGTACCATCCTCGTTTTTCTGACATACTTGAGCCTATAGCTGCAGTCACTGTGTCAGTCCATCTGGTTAAGGATCTTCCTCTTGCACTGACCTTTCGGAACATGATCCCTCTCCAAAGAATAACCTCTTCTAGGAACATGCCTAAAGTATGTGAGACAGAGCTTTGTCATCTTTGCCTCCAAGGAAGCACTCTGACTGCACTTTCCCCAAGACTGTCTGTTCTTTTGGCCATCTATGGGATGTTCAGTACTCTTCTCCACCATACACAGCTCAAAGTTATCAATTCTTCTGTTACTCTTATTCATTTTTCCAGCTCTCAGATGCATAGCAAGTGACTGTAAAGACCATGCACTGAATCAAATAGACAGTAATTCTTAATCAGACACCATTTCCTAGAATGCCTAGTGAATTTCAGCATGATTTTAATTAGAAGCAAACCATAAGCACCTTATCAGTGTAAAGAAACGTGGTGGTATAAGTTTGTGTTTTTGCATATTTTGTAGTGAGTATGCAGTTTCACAGTAATTTGTTCTGATTATTTTGTGTGTGTGTTTTATTAAGAAGTTCAGGTCTTGACTGCATATTTCTGCAGTGGGTATAGGCGCTCTTTTGCTGCTGCTTCTTGGTCTTCAGGTTCTCCTCATGCTTGTTGAGCCTTTGGCGCCTGGTTAGTAACAGTGAGAACACGGGCAATGGATTTTCGGACAGCTCGGATTTTGGAGAGCTTAGAAGCTGCGCCACCTGTCACTTTGGCAATGCGCAGCTGAGAAAGCTCCACTTGGAGATTGTCCAGCTATTTTAACAGCTCCTCCTTCTTACAGCGAAGGTCCCAAGCCTTGATTTTGGCCATGGCTGAGCGATAGAACCTGGCTGCCGCCCGATCCAAGCCCAAGAGAAAGAGCTGTTTTGATACATTTTTTACTGTAAGGAGGAAAATAGCTGACTTGGCACCACAAAAAATGACTCAGATATTCTGAATGCAGGGAATATTAGGGTAGAACATGAGATCATTTTTGACCAGTGTTTTTGAACTTAGAATTTTATTAAATTCTTTTGTGGCCACTATTTTAAAAAATACCAAGGATGATATTTAATATTTCCTTGAGAGTTAATTTGAGATATATCAGTTTGGAATGAGTCTTTCCTTTTTAAAATCTCGCATAAATTACCACAAGGATTTTGGACTACTCTGGACCATTAAGAGATTTAAAGATTTGCTTCTCAGTTGTACATGGTAGTGTGTGTTTCTCCGTCTCCCTCCCCCCCTCTTTTGCCATTGCAGAAAATTTTCTCTCTGAAATAAGTTTAACAAAAAGCTTGATCAAGCAAATGAGATACCGTTCGCGATTCAGGTTAAATTTAGCAGTGCTTATGAAAGAACTGTTGAGATTTGTTGTGTAACTTTTGCCCCTCATGTTGAATTACATATTGGCCTGTAAAATAAAACAGGAAGCAGAGAAGTGCAAACCTGTCAGTTTCTACAATGGAATAATTCCCATTGCCGATTTTTTCAGTTGCTGCTTCTCAGACTCAAAGCAGGAATGAAATAAGTTACAGATCACTGTATCCCTGTAGCTCACAGGCTTTTTGAAACCATCTCACTTTTATTCATCACCATAGCAGTCACTTCTCCACAAAGA